GGGGGGGGGGGGGGCGCGACGATCAGCACCGAGGGTGTGCGCCTGTATTTTAGCACATATTACAGCCTCTCTCTCTCTCTGAGTCGGACAATCGGTTTCTAGTGCATATTTACGGGACTGCGAGAGCCACTCCGCGTTAATTACAATCTGCGCGTGTGCTCTTTCTTCTCTCCTTCTCGTCCTGCATGCGTTGAAAAAGAAACCTGTTATTTTTTCTCTGCTTTGTTTGCATCGCTTCGGGGCTCTTACGGATAACTACATTTTTTTGAGCTTATACCTTCGTATTTCTTATTCCAAAATACAATAATTACCGTATCGAATCGTGATTCGGATTTTTGACGTTCGTTTGTTTGTTCTTTTCATTTCGCCACCCACTACTGTAACACACACACAACGAAAGGCAATGCAACGCGAGCAGCGCCGGCTACGACGGCTGCGAGCACCTCTGCTGCGGCCGCGGCTACAACACCCGGGCCGAGGAGGTCCTCGAGAGATGCGACTGCAAGTACTTCAGCTGCTGCTACGTCAAGTGCAAGACCTGCCGCAACGTCATCGTCACGCACGAGTGCAATTGAATATCGCGAGCGCGTCGAGGGATGGATGTATTTTTTGAGAGAGAAAAAAAAAATTGTTCACTTATTTAATCGATGAAATTTGAATACTCGAGCATTTTTTTTTTTTTTTTTTTTAGATATCTGAGCGGAGAGACTGACGATTTTATATATATTTTTTTGTGTTATTGTTAATGTATACCCGTGATCGTTGCCACGAACGAACGTAACAATATATATTTTGTAAATAATCGTTTGTTTTTATTGTCTACGAAGTATACAGTGGCACGCTCGATTGCACTGCGTACGGAAGTTGATGTATTTTTTTTTTAAATTCGACTATATAGGCGTTTATAGTAATATAAAATAATAGACTGATCCGCAATACGAATTATTACACTGATTAAATGTATAACAGTATTAGAAGAGAGTCGGAAAAGAAAACGGAAAAGCAATGATAAATGTTATTAGAAAGAGTAAGAATCTTCAACGAGATCGGAAGATTAAAACGAGATAAAATTGACAATAAGTAGTCTACATTTTTATCGAATACATTATAAAAAAAAAAAAAAAAGAAACTAGTATATCAACGAATTGCGTGTGAGACAGATTTTTATCCGAATCACTGTGGAGTAGCTTTAGTAGTACAGTGTGCGCGTAGCAAAAACGTGTATCCTCTAACTTAGCCGTATCACAATAAGCATAATTTATATAGCTAAAAAGTCATTTTTGTATTTCTTTTCGTCCCGGATAAATCAATTTTCATGGTAGCGCCAGCTTTAGACAATATAAAATATGAAAAAAAAAATATCAAACAAATGAATAAAAACAGTAATAATATTAGTAATCGTAATAAAAAAAACATTAACGCTCGAAAGTTATGGCTGAATAGTTATCATATAATTCGTAACTAAGCCTGTAGCGCTAGAATATTTGATACAATTGTGTAAGCATTTCCGTAAACATCGTACAACGTTGTGTGTAAATAGACTCCCACTGTCACTGGCAAATGTATTATTGCGATTATCGTATTGTAAGCTCGATTGATACATGTATATTATTATTATTATATTCGAAATAAAGCATCTCGTAATTGTAGCATAAACATCGAGTTCTCTTCCTTTGCTCGAACCCGCTGTATCGATTTCATCCCGATGTTCGAACTCTATGCGTATTCTCCTTTTAGTTGTCGTTGCAGTCGCACACGCCGTCCTGCATGAGCGGCGACTCGCTCCTGGGCTGCTGCTCCTTCTCCAGATCCAGATCGCGTATGAACCAGATCCAGTCGACGATCTGGCAGTCTTTGGCACGCTCGCCGCGGGACGAGCACTTGAGTACCTGAAATTCGCACGAGTTATATGTAAGTTCTCGAACGAGGCAAGGGAAAATCGATGGTATATGAATACCTTGACGTTGACCGGTACGACGGGCGTCGGTGGATCCAATTTGACGTCGAGAAATTTCAGCAAGTCGACGTAATCGATCTCACCCGCGCAGTTCCTCTCCAGTCTGTACGCGCGAGCAACGAAGTCGTCGATTAAAAATGAAATATAAAAAATAAGAAATAAGACTCACCTGTCGAACATCAGGTGAATCAATTCTTTCTCGAGCGGCAGCCTGTTGGCCCTGATAATCTGATACAGCCTCTCGCGGCCCAGATAACCGCTCTGGCCGCGATCGAAGTGTCTGAGATCCTCGGCGAGTCGCTCGAGGCCCGACCAGTTGTCGCGCAGCAGCTCGGCGTGCACCAGGGCGCGCACGTAGTCGCGCTCGCAGGCCGCCTCCTGCCTCGGCTCGCAGTACGAGTAGCGACGCCCCAGCGTGACGATCTCGTGATCGGTCAGCAGGTCGGGGGGCGAGGAGCCGAGATACTTCCTCAGGGCGGCTTTGAGATCGCCGAGCTCGATGACGTAGCTGCCGGACTGGGGCGCGTGCTCGGTCACGAATTCCCGATAGACCGGGCGCAGCTTGTCGCGTATCTTGTTCATGATCAGGGTCGCGTTGGCTTTCGGGAACTGCACGCAACGATTTTTTTTTTTTTTTGTTTTTTTTAGTGTACTCGAGAAGAAAAGGAAAAAATGTGTACACAATACACACGATATGATACCTGACTGCTGTGGCGCTCCATGTAATTGAGGGTGTACTCGTCGGCCGACTCGATGAAGAACTTGAAGCTGTTGAGCTCGACCACCGCGCCGAGATACAGATGCTCGGCGCCGTAATATTTCGGCTTCTCGCTGCTGAACGGATCCTGGCCCGGCAGACGCATCAACATGCGCTTTTGAAACAGACTCAACGTGTGGCCTGCTCGATCGAAATCATAAACGAAATAAAGTACAAAATAATAACGAGGACGCGAACGAATGAAAAAAAAAGAGAGAGAGAGCAGCAAATTGAACGCGATCGTTGTGCCGCGAGAGACGAAGAGAAAGAAAGAGATACGATACCTGTTTTTTTACAACTGACTTCGCTAATTGCGATCGTGCCGTCGAACAAGTACAGCGAAATGACGAAGCAGCGATCGTCGTTGGCGGCTACGTCGCTTATCATCTTGGCCCCGAATCGCAGGATGCGATTGTCGTTGGATTGACTGTGGAACGAGTATATTTTTTTTATATAATACATAATAATCAAGTAACAGGGGTAAGTGCGAGTAAGCGAAAACATTTGATTCAAGCAAGTCTAGTTTTTTTTTTTTTTAGTTCGAGACAAGTATTCAATTTTTTTTTACATCTTCCTAGAGGAGGCTTTGTGATAGGCTTCAAAACGATTTTTTAAATTTGTAAACTATAATATGGGAAAAAAGTGTCAAGAGGTGTACATCATCAAAGGAAGTCACCGTGCCGTCGTGAATGCGGTTGACGAAATCAATTATAGACTCGTTTGATAGTGTATGAGTAGTAGTCGTCGTCGCACAATTTTACATTTCAATCAACAATTAAATTCTACGTTCAGCGATCGTCTCGGCATTCGATTATTTCTGTATTTTTTAATACGAGGTACTAGATTAAGCGTGAAGAAAAAGATGAGCACCATACAATACTCGTTGAGCGAAAAAAGGGGAAAAGAAAGGAGAGGTAAATGCAGAAGATTTTTCAAAATGTTGCATCTAATATCTTGTTTAATCTAAAAAAGAAAAAAAGAATAAATGAAGAAAGATCAGATTCTTTACTAGATAAAACACCGATAATAGCCTGATGATTAAAAAATGACTATTCAAAATATTATAAAAACATTACATTTAATCAACTTAATTTTGGCGATTTTCTGATTTAAATGACTTGGAATTAACAGTTTAATTGTTTCAAACAATTTAGACCAGTTTTTAAGTAATTTCAATATTATAATACAACTTCGAGACTCTACCACTAGAGGGCGAGTAAATTAATTTTGTAAATCCGCAAGAGGCAAAGGCAAAAGAATGGTATAACTTATACCATCGATATACCTTATATATCTATAGTGTACTACTAATGGCAAAAAAGTGTAATATCAAATGCCTATGTAAAAAAACGTTACACTTTTATTTGGACAATGATGTATCCAATTCTACTAACTTTCTTATGTCTGAGAAACTTGTTTGTAGGCCAAAAAACTAGCCACAAAATGTCTATTATATCTGCGAAGGATGTGAAAACATATTTGTTAACCTGTTTAAATTTTAAATGAAATAAGTCACTACATAAACCGCAGGGTACGTATAACCTTTCAAGTTTGAATAAACGTAGTGAAAAATTTATGTTCCATACCGCATACATTTGCGTTGATTCAGAACATATGACGATGTTTTACACTGATATTATCAGATTCGGTGAAAATATAAATTTTATAGAAAATATTTTTCAATTCGGAGAAAGATAAACATGTCAGCTAAAGTTTGGATAGATATTAGCAGCAATAAAGATTATTTGAATTCAGCTAAAACTGTATGGGAAACAAATTTCACCTGGATTACTAGAATTATGAAGATTACCTTTTTATACCCTTTCCAAAAAAGAAGCATACAAATAATTGGGAATATTTTTCTTAGTTTGTATTTATTGATCACATTAGCTCTGCTGGTAAGTGTTTGAATGATTTCACTGATAGCATGATGTTTTAAATAAATCATATTTTATTTAGATCTTGAAAATTATCAAAATAATAAAAGAAAACCAAAAACTGAACACAACTATTATTGAATGTATATTTCAAGTAATATGTTTTTTTATCATAATATTTAGTTACTTGCGCATAGTAGTATGCAAAGAAAAGGTAATTAATATGTATGATGAATATAAAGCGAATAATTACATTCGAAGTCAATAAAAAAATTGAAATTTAATTTTTAATTTTAAGGTTCATATTTGGTCGGTAATGATAATTCGAATGTGTCACACAAATTCTCAAGTAACCCAAGCGATTATGTTCGAAACAATGAAGAGAGGATACCGTATTAGCACTTTTTTAGCAGGTTAACAACAAGATTTATCACATCGCGTTTTGGATAATTTATTTATTTACACATTTTCAGTGGTGATAATGATTTTATGCACTAGCTTTGGAGCATCACCCGTAGCTATTCCGTCCTTTTTGAACTGGGCACTACCAGGCAATAAGACTTATGAAAAATCGCTACCAATGCATACAGAATTTTTGAGCGAAGAAAAATTCTTTTATCAAAATTTCTCAGTCCAGCTTACAACATTATTTATTTATGGTTTATTAATGAGCGCGATAAATGCTTTTCAATGTATTGGTGTGGCATACGTCATTGGCGAAATTCGTGTATTGGAGTACGCGATAACTAGAAAAAATGGCCTTACGTTAAAGGGATCGTGTTAAAAGTTTAAATTCAAAAATTGCTATATAAATCGAAATAGTGGAACTTTTTTGTGATAGTAAAATATGTTCATTCTAAACCAAAAAATTTCTTGACCAAAAAAGCTTCTACCCAAGCTCTGGAATACCAATTAGATTACTTGAAAATCGTTAGAAAAGTACTTTCACCCACTTGAGCAGAGCAGAATTTAAAAAAAAGTTTGCATCTCTCCCAAGAGCTTAAATAAGGCATTTAGTGTTAATATAATATTGATTTCTTCCAAAATTGACTTGTACATAAAGTTGTACCCAATTTGTCCAAATTCAGCTCCTCCGCTCAAGTGGATGAGGGTACTTTTCTGAAGATATTCACACCCCATCGATCAATATTGATGAAGAACCCTTTTCAAGATCATGCCGCAAGTGATTTATAACACAAAATTTAGTATTATGAAAAAAGTGATGTAATTGGTATTTCAGAACTTCGGCAGAATTTGTTTTGTCCATCAGATGTAGAATAAACATATTTTACTATTACAAAAAAAAATTTCCACTATTTCAATTTATATAGGCTATCTTTAGCTGAAGCTGAATTTAAACTTTTAACACAGGTCAATCGCCTTAAATAAGATTTTAAAGATCGATAATTTTTTTATAGGTATCTATTACATAAAATGAAATTAGATTACAAATTCAAAATTTTTATTCATAAAAACGAAGAAAAAAAATGGATTTTTGAACAGCTCCAAAATTTTGTTGAAATACATCAAATTTGTATCGAGTAAGTGTAGTTAATTGCAAAGGCTTTTGTAAATTGATAACTCATATCCCCATGAATTCTAGATTATTCAATATGGTTCTAGATGTAAGTAACGTTATGATATTTGTTATATTAATTGGAGCAAGTTGTACTATTGTCTTGACGGCTACCTCGGTATGCTCGAAATCATTTGATAGATCATTGAATTATTGAATTACTAAAATAGAAAAAGAATATAAATTCCTGTTTTTAGATGGTAATATTAATGGAAACAGATATGTCAGCGGCAGTAAAAATGTTTTTTGCGTTTTGTATTATTATAAGTACTATAACTTTAACTTGTATACCAAGTCAACTGTTGAAGAATGCAAGTGACGATCTGTTTTATACCTGGTGACCTTTTCAAATAATTTTTTTTAATTTTATTTATTTTAACATTTCAATTCAATAAATAACTATTGCTTTCAAGCTACGAAACGAATCTACAAAGTTACCCTACGGAAGTGCGAAAGATGTTATTGTTCATAATGTTAAGGGTTATGAAACCTTTTGTTTTAACTGCTGGGCCAACCATAGAATTAAATTTAGAAAACTGCAGCACCGTGAGCTTTTTATTTATTCATTGTACATGATATTTTTTGAGCGATTTAATGATTGTACAAACTATTGTTTCCAGGTAATCAAAACTTCGATGTCTTATGCCGCAGCCTTCAGAACTTTTTACACTTCGTTATGACTTTTTTCTCTCTAACTCAATCTGTTTGTATTATTTGAATTTGATGTTCTTAGTTATGTATCACTTTAGTTTCTCAATATAAAAATTTTCATTCATTTTTTCATTGATGTTTCATCGGTTTAGTTAATTAATTTTTGGATCATAAGTGACAACTTCACTTATACCGTTTGAAATTTGATAATTTAAGCATTAAATTCATGTTTTCCCATTGGTATGAGTTTAAAAATCAGCACACAATCATGGGTTTTTCTGACATTATTACCATATCGATTTACACCAAAGGACACTAGGTACTCTTATGCCTAGCTAGTTAGAGACTCAATCTGTGCCAAACTATTATCTTTTTATAATGGCATAAATTAGAATATCAGCACACAAGGCCAACATTTTTTACAAATCTATTTGTACTTAAAAATACATCACCACGCTAAAACGGCGTAAAATTCCGTTTTTTGAGCTCGTTATCGATGTATCTTTCAGACTTTTGAAGGGCATAAGTTAGAAAATTAGCACCTATTATCGGTCACTACCTGTCGGTCTAATTACGAAGATCGAGAGTGATTCCGAACTTCTGGAAGAGATTATTATCAATTAAGTTTATTCGCGCCGACCGGTCCAAATTCGTTTTCCCCACCGTGGATCACTTCGAAGACGTACACGAATGCATGGCGAGATGTAATCTGTGGAGGCTTCCGAAATGCGCCATGGCGTGCAACGCTCCGATTGTCGTCGATCGACTGGAGAAGAGAGGCTACAAGCCGAACCGAAGCGACGTCATGACGATCATGAATTTTTTCGCCGAGCACTAGCTGTTTGAGAGATCGTTGGGTCTCGAGGAGTCCTCGTTGGACCATCGACCGAGCAAAAGCGGAAATGGTCGTTCCGGGGCTCTCTCTCTCTACGATCTGATCCGGCTGCGACCCGAGGAGGCGGCAAAATGACTCACGTTCGAGGACTACAAAAAGTTCGGCCTAGAAGGTTGGTTGTGCATTTACCCCAAAGAGTTCAGCAAAAATGGCGCTCTGAATCGGTGCGAAAAAATGTCGAAAGCATCGTCGAGGCTATACGAGACAAAGCTCATTGTGTGATTGAAAGTTCGTGTTCATTATTTTTAATATTTTATTCAAATAAATAAATTAAAAAAAAGAAAATAGTTTTGATTTCCTTATTGGCGAGCGCACGATCACTCGAAGCAAAAAAATCTTAAATTATGTATTCATTATTATATCCATGCACACAGCGCATCTGAAAACTTTCAAATGCTCGCGTTCTCTCGACTCGACTTCAACTCTATCGTCGAGCTTATAAAACTTGAAAAAAAATCATGGCACCCGCAGTGTCAAATTCGTATCATATAAATACATTCATTCCCCGACGGAAAAAAATCGTTCAAGAAAAAGTAAAAGTAGTAACTCAAACCATCATATTAAATTGTAAAATGTAATAAAATGTAATAAAATGTAAAAAAATGTAAAATTACTAGCTATTTCGGACAGTCAATGCATCAAAAAATGCATAATAAAATCACATGTTTTTACACTTTTTTACATTTTCCTCTTTATGCTATCTGCGTGTGGTCGCATCGACCGCAGCAAGTGATTTTCGTAAAAAAAAATGTATTAATTTTTATGAATAAATTAAGACAAATTATGACGGATATGAATATAAACCAAATTCCGTCATCTCAGTACTCCCCAGTACATCTATTATGATGTTATAAGGCTTTCTGCTGCATAAGAGTGAGTTCACTTTTTTCACGAGAATCACTTGCTGCGGTCAATTCGACCACATGCGGGCTTGACTGGAATTTTTAACTCATAAGTAAAAATTGTAACATTTAAAATTATTATTATAGAATTTTGTTTTTTCACACTTTTTTACTTTTTCCGTGTAACTTTAATGAGCTTGAATTCATAGGGTTTTCATCTTTCTTATTATAGGTAAACTAATGTAATAAACTGTAATAAAAGTATCACATGTCCGAAATCGTTAGTAATCTTACATTTTTTTACACTTTTTTACTTTTTATTACAGTTTACAACATTATTATGCACTTTATTAAAAAAAAAATTCCGCTGTAATTACATAAAATAACACCGTGAAAACGAAAGAAAAAAGGGGGAGAGCACTGACTTTTCGTATCTGTAGTACTTGTCGGTGCTGTACTTGGGCCTCTTGGGCACGGCCTTGAAGCAATTGCCCAGCGAGTCCTCGTACGTCCCGTAGCCGTTGTAGGGCGGTATGTACCACTCGCGCTCGCCGACGCATCCTCCCTTCCTCCCCTTTGCTTCGTCGTCGGGCCTCGGCTTGGGCGTGAAATCCTCCAGCCCGTACTTGACCCTGTAGTACTGCCTGGTGTAGTCGTCCATGTCCGTGAGCACGACGAGTCTGCCGTAGACGTTGAGCTGGGCGCCCAGCTGCAGATCGCACTCCTCGTAGTATCCCTCCAGAGCACCTTGGCAGGAATCGTTGGTCGACCAAGACTTGTCGGCCACGTAGTAGCTGCGTCGGGTGCTCTCGCCGAGGACGTTGAGCAGAGTGAGCTCCTCGTGATGGCCGATCGGCGGCATCTCGCGAAAGAAGCGAGGCACCTTGACGCGCTTGACGAGGAGGGAGCGGCCGCCGCCGCCGCCCGGCAGATTCTCGACTATCTCCATGGTGCCGTCGGCCAGGTAGAACAGTATCTCGAGGTCGTGCACGTAGCCGTAGAGACTGTCCCGGTCGTCCCAGTAGCCGTAGAAGCGCAGTATCTTGCCGTCGTACTTGAGAAAGTCGCCGAGCTTGTCGTGCTTCTTCGGGCAATTGGCAGCCGCTGCCGTTACTGCCGCCGCTGGTCGTGGCCTCGCCAAATCGTCGACCGGATTCTTGGGCGGCTCGAACGGATCCGGCACGGCTATGCCCATCCGATTGAGAAAACGCCTCGTGAACGGATCGCAGTCGTAGATCGTGTAGCGCCTGCCGTAGATCACCGGCTGCTCGCCGATATTGAGATCGAGTATGTCGTGGTAGCGATAGTGCACCGGATCCGGGAGTGGCACCCGCTGACGGCGCACGAGCACGCCCTGCTCGAGGCCGCTGTTGTCCGTCGAGGGCTCGCTTATTTTGAGGGTGCCGTCCTCGAGGAAGAAGCCGATCGTGACGTAGCGCACGCGACGCGCCGTGCGGCCCTCCCACAGCAGCTCCTCGAAGTAGGCCTTGAACTGGAGCCGCTGGCCGTCGAGCTCGAGCCAGGCGACCCTGGGCAGCTCCTCGCCCCAGGCGTATAATGCCGGATAGCGGCTGCTGCTGCCCGAGGCGGAGGAGGAGGATCGGTTGGGCTTGTCGGCGAGATAGTAGACGTCGCCGTGGATGCGGTCGAAGTGTTGCGCCCGGTGGAAGTGAGTTTTACCGATCTGATGATCGCGTTTGATTTATGATGAAAGCGGTTGGTGTGTATATCGATAGTTTTTGAATCAACTCACGTCATCGTTAAAGTTGAATCCCGGCAGGCAGGGCAGTTTCGGCTTCTTGTACATACTCGCGACGAGTGGGCGTTGGAAAAAAAATTAAATACAAAAAAAAGTCAAATCTACGATTCCACGTGCTCACATTGCGGCGTTATCTCCGCGCGCCCTATCATACACTGCACTTTACAAAAAAAACAACAACAACAACAAACGTCATAACCCAAGTTTGGACACTGACGAGAGAAAAGCTCTCCGATACACGCTTAGCTCCCCGCCGCATAGGGTCTATTTATCGAGGTTACCTTGGTTATCTTATTACGTATATGGGAAGTGCGCTCGATCGATAAGGCGCACTTGGTCGTGAGGGAGAAGGAATCAAAGATTAATAGAGAGTAAAATTACTTTTTGTGTCTCGAAGACAATTTATAAATAATTGAGCTTTACATTCCTTACGTACAATGTATTATACGTACATTTCTGTATAATATAACGTGAAAAAATCGGTATTACAGACATGATTAATGTAATAACTTTCATTTCGTTTCATTACATTAGTATATCGTTGAAATTTGTTCGCCCACAATACAGACTTTCTATGAAAGAGTAAATAAGCTATTTTTTAAATAAAAAATAAATGGCATCGTCGGTATCGTTGAGAAACAAAATGTAACAATGTTTAACAATCGGTAAACATCCTTTTTTTTCTTTTTAATTATCACACGCTTATCGAAACTCGTCGTTTCGATCCTAAATTTTTGTATAGCACCATATCGTGTTGCGCGTCGTCGAAGCAAACGAATCTCTCCGTCAGAATGTAGCATTAAACGGAGAGGAATATAAACAAAATCTCGAACGAGTCTTGTGAAGAAAAAAAAATGCACACAAGCATTTAATCCTTGGACTCCGGCTGCAGATCGTACCAGGCCGTGTTGGCCTGCGTGAAGTCCAGCTCGGACAGCTTGATAAGTACCTGGCCCATGCAGTTGCTGCCGGTCGACAGCCAACCCTTCTGCGTGCACACGGACAGCTCGAGGGTGCGCGTGTTGATGTCGCCCTGCGACACGATGTACTCGAACTGCTCGTCGAAGGTCGGACTGCAGTTGTCCTTCATCACGGCCGTCTTGCGCTTCGTCTCCTTGTGCTTGTCCGGCAGCAGGTAGAGCTTCACGTAGGGATCCGGTATGTTGGACGGATCGTGCGACGGCAGCGGTAGATTGCTGCGGCGGTGAAAGAAACGAGAAAATAATAACGCTGACAATGATCGACGCCCGTGTTTGCATACTCACGCGACTTTGTGAACGACGACGAAGAGCTTCTGCCTGGCGAGGCTGTACTTGAGCGTCAGCTGGACGCGGCCGAGCCTCGACTCGCCGGCGTACGACGTGACGCTGGGATTTCGCTTGAACACGCTGCTGGTTTGACTGCGCACGGACGATTGGCGCGGCATGGCCGACACGGACTCGGCGCTTTCGCGAAGCATGGGATCTTCGACTCCCAGGTCAGTCTCGGCTACGGCGCTGCTGATCGAGCTCTGTATCGAGTCCTTGGACTGTTGCCTCTTGAGCGGGCTGTCGGGTACTGAAGATCAAAGTTGGCAGGATTAAAACGTGGAGATCGAAAAAATTGAGAATGCAAAAATTACCATTGCTGGATATCGACGATTCTTGTCGTTCGATCTTTTTGTTGAGACTCTGTATGTCGTCGATATCCTCGTCGTCCGACGTTACTTCCGGCTGCTCGTACTTCAAAATCTATAAAACCCACAAAACGATCCCTCAAGCAACAAAGTCGACGAAAAACGATCATCGCTCGTAAAAAACATCATCCATCTTTTACCCTCAGCTTCATGGTGAGCAGCACCTTGCTGTCCACCCCGCTCATCTGCAGATCGAACGGCTGCATCTTCAGCTCCATGCTGTCCATGGCCAGCAGCGCCGACAGATTGTAGGTCATGCTGCCTATCGCCTGGGCGCTCTTCTCGTCGCTGACCTTGACGTGGAGCGTGGCGGTCTCGGGATTGCCGACGAGCAGCGTGAAGCCCTGCTCCCAGACGGGATTGCTGCTGCGCAACAGAGTGCCCGTGCGCTCGACCTTGCCGCCCACGCTCGCCTCGAGATACGAGTCGGGCTGCTTGCTGCCTTTGAGGCACTGCCGTTGGGGCGAAGATTTAGGCGGTTACGTATAGGTACTCGAAAAGAAAAAAAAATGTTCGAAGCAATGGTCGACTGTGACTTACGGGTAAATTTTTGGCGGAGTCGACGTAGAGAATGAGCAAGGCGGTGCTCATCGAGGTGACTCGCAACTCTTGTGTTTCTTTCAAAGCCTAAAAGCAAAAAAAAGTAGTTTAAATAACATCGAGACAATTTGTTTTTATGAAAATTATGCGTATACTTACGGCTGACAAATCGGCCGGATTCGTCGTGAGCTGAAGCCAAGTCAAGCGAAGATGGACCATACCGTGTTTAGCCAGCTCCAGCGATATCCACTGCAATCGCAATTATCCGATCAGCAATTTCGCGTAATGTACATATATAGGGGCTGAATTAAAAATTCTGTGTCAACTCACGGTATCGATCATTCCTTTCTTCTTTACGCGGCTCACCTCGATCGTGGCTCTGTTCGCAGATCATAAGTCAAAATTTTAGTGAATCGTGTAAAGATCTGAATCGTGATTGAGTGAATGGGTTACTCGATGAGAATAAAGTTATTAGAGTGGATGTGTGTTTCATTCGATTAACCCGGATATTCGTTAACGACAATAAGCTCTTTATTATTTTGTAAATTAATTGCATTAATGTAACAAATAAGCGACTACTTTAAAATCAAGCAATTTTCTATTAATCAACTATGAAACTCGTGCTCAAATAAAACTATTACATTAGAACAAATTAACAAAGCAATTAAAACAATAAAAAAAAAGGATTCATTAATAAATATCAGCGAGAAAGCTCGTTTTATTTTCAGCAACGGATGACTTTAAAAAAAAAAGAGATATAGACAAGGATCTAGATTATCAATGATTAATCGTTCGTGTTAATTGATTATTTATTATTTAATTAATACCTGCCGAGCGATTCGTCGTGTTTCGTGTTGTCTTTGTCATAGAGTTCAGCGACCAGCTCGTGGCGATACGAAACGCTCTGCTCCATTATGCACTGTCACCCCCATAATTATAATGCACACAGACAGATGGACGGAGAGAGGAGGAGAGAGAGATAGAGTAAGTAAAGTTAAGTATAAGTGAGCGAGTGAGTAGTTATTATACAAAGCCGCTTTACAGATTAGTCGATATAATAATGCGCACATATCAGGAGAGTATGTGTCACAAAGGGACTAGTATATTGGGTATAAGTTACTTTTTTTCTTCTTTTTTTTTTTTGTTGAATCGTTAAAAGGAATCGCTAATTCGTTATGCTCTTAAAAACGATTATTATTAAGCGCCTCCCCCCATCTCCTCGTGTTCTTTGACCGGGTTGCGGAAATGATATTATGTATACGTTGTTAGGGTATCGGCCGGGATTTTTCGTCAATAATTCAGTTACATGCTTTTACTCTCATTATGTCATTCGACGAGGATTATCGGCAAAAAGTTCAAACGCCACTCGAAATCACAGTTTTGTAGTTTTTTTTTTTTTTGTTTCATAATTTTTTATTACTACCTGCCCAGAAAGTCATCACCTTGCACGCCCGGCACGTTTGGGTCCCAATCCCAAATCGACAATTCGACCTCTTGTCTACAAACGCTATGAATATGAGCCTGCGTTCATGACGTAATAAAATTTTTTTTTGTTTTCGATCCACACATAATACATGTAAAGCTGTATTGAGCTTTTGAACCACTATTTTTTTGCTATCTTTTTTTTAAATTCAATATAATATTTAAAGCGTACCTACCCATTGATAAAATTAATAAGTATTGGTTTAAAAGTTATAACATAAAGTAAAAAAGTCAACCCACAACCATGACACGCATAAACACCGACAAAAAACAAGCATGCAAAGCAGCACTGCGAACATTGAATCGTTTGCAATATTTCTCTTAATTTAAAATGTAATAAAAATAAATTAAATAGACTATTATGAGCGAAAAAAAAAATTAATGAGAAGGGACATTGATAGCCATATCATACCTGCCAAGATTCTCATTTTTTTTGGTATCATCAAAGTCCCACAGATGAACTGTAAGCTGTTGAGCTATGGCCGATGAGATGACACTCTATATTAATGCAGACAACACAACACACATTCGTACGAAAAAAAGTTGAACTTGCTTTAGAGTTGTAAATTGTGAAATTTTTTTTTTATAATGAACTTAGTTTACCATAACTTCAACCAATAATTAATTTAGAATATTCAAATACTATAATGCGAAAAACTTGAAAGTTTTGTGCAAGAAAAAAAAACATTTAGATGATTAGATTGACTCAAGAAGAAAAAAATTAGTGAAGAGTACGAGAAAATGAATATTAAAAATTGTTTTGTTAATTAGTACTCTTCATTTGATATAATTTTCGAAGAATAAAACCCCATACGATTAAACATGAATTTTACCGAATCTTGTTCGATATTGATAAAATCATTATTAAAATTTAATTTAAATTTTCAAATTGAAAGCTCATGCATTAAAAACGCAGTTGAACTTAAAAGACTTTTACCTCGCACCAGTAATCCCATTTAGGATCTACTGTATTATCTATTGTCTTGGTTCTGAATTCCTGCGCTCCAACTGTGATCACGGCATAGGGATCAGATTTTCCTTTTCCCAACATTCCAATATCTTTTTTCATAAGGTGTTTGGCTTGAACTACGTGAATACGAAGAACACCCTTGAAAAGCAATTGGAAAATTTTAATTCTGTATGAGGCAGAAGAAAAAGGGTGATAAAACATACTTCAGGATCAGGGCATTTTATCATTTCTGCTGGTATTTCATCAGTAAGTGGCACTATAATTTTATTTGGCAAAACAGCAATAGCAGCAACTTGTTCAGTTATTATTTTACGAAGAATATCACTGTAAATTAAGAATATATGTTAAAGATTTATTTTAAAACAGGTTTTTAAAAGTAAAACGAAAAAAGTATAAACCTGAGTCCAGGAAGATCAAGAACATCAGCTACACCAACCAAATTGAAATCAACCACTGGCACATTTAAAAAAAAAGCTTGAACACCACCGACAATAGGCATGATTGGGATGAGTGGTTTCAAGGTAACACGTAGCATTCCTCGAAGCTAAAATTAACAATTATTAGTACATAATTTTGTTCGCAATAATAAAAATGTATAAAATTCATAGATTTTTAAATTACCTGAAAGTCTTTTATTCCTGCCTTAAAAGTTCCCATTGTAAAAGTTATGTCACAGTCTCCAGCGTACCTAGAAATTTTATTAAAGAGTTTTTAACATTATAAAGGATTTAACACTTGCAATAATGCCGAACTAACAAATAATTTAATGAATAAAACTTACATTACATCCATATCTAATACAATTTCATTTCTTGAAGTATGTTTGTCATAAACCTTGACTCCATTGATTTTGGGGGGCTAAAATTACAGAGCTTATAAGTAAATTGTGAACTTCTAAAATATTTATCAATTAATCAAAACTTACAATTCTACCCAATACTATCCTGTCAAAACGAAAATCTTTTCCTATGCCAGGAATTTTTTTCTGATAATCTACCAAACGCTCAGCTATGGCATCTTGGATGATAGTTTTACATAGATCCCTACCAAAATGATTGATGCTTGGCCACGCTTTGTACAAAATCTGAAATTGTTACATATTCAAATGTAAAAATAATGAATCTATAATAGCACCCATGTGTGAAGTAGAAAACTTACCCCGTTAAGCCATTCTGCTCTGTCATAATCAGGAAAATAAACCCACGTTGGTAAGTCATCGATCCTATTCTCTATTATTATTCTATCTTTACATAAAGCTGTAGCTTGAGCTGTCATTCTTTTCAAGTCTCCATCTTTCTTTCTTTCTCCTTTCAATACAGCGTAAGCGATTGGAGGAATGAGCCATGCAAAGTTCAATTGCATGTATCCCATTCCCCAAATGACTCCTACGGTTGCCAATTTGAAAAACAGAGATTTCGACAGCGAACCGAAGGTCATGTAAGGCCAAGAAGTTGGTTTCTCTTCCACCCCTTGATCTCCATTATTGTCTTGTTCGATTATACCAGTTGCCAGCGACATGAGAGCAGCAGTCGTCCAAGCTTTTGGGCTCGTACCGTTCTCCTGCTTAATACCATTCTCCTTTTCCATTTTCAATTTGAATCAAAGACAGTCTGAAATAAAGCACATTATAGCAGCATTACACGAGGCACGAAGGTCGAATAAATTTCAAGCGATGCATTTGCAAAATTCCAGCCAGCAACAGGATACCATAAATAACATTCAAATGAAGAATGGATCGTCCCGCGATCAAACGCCCTTCGATAATCGCCCAAAGCCATTCGTATTGTCAAGCGGGAATCGGGTCGAATCAATACGGCGGTGGCATCGCGTTGTTGTTGCGGCGTGTATTACAGTATTATGACAAATTGCGATAAACCGCGGCTCGCCAATAACGCGGCTGATAAGATCGTAATCGTTCATCGCGTAATAATATCGAAAATCCGCCTCGTTATCCAACTTGACCCATTATTAACTGTCGCGAATTTCATTGAAATTTCAATCGTATATCGATAAAAAGTTTTCCGTCGTCGCGGCCACCCGGCTACTGTCTCGCGGTATATAACTGTGTCAAACTCTCCCCAACTCTTGAGATAACGACAACACAGTAGCAGCACGGGAATCCTAAATTCGGTCCAGCTTCAAGCGCCGGCCAGTGCTGCGAAGCGCGTGGCGCGGGAATGACTCGAAGAACAGAGATCATTTCCAATTTTAGAATCGTCGCATCGACACAGCGAGACGCAAACGAGACGTAAATTCGTCTTTTAACAGAGCATTACAACATTCGTGCACAACATATGAATAAGCATAATAATGAGAATTAGCAATCACGTAATCGAAATCGAGTTATAGCTGTTGTAGCCGTGGAACGAGGCCTTGATCGCGCGTCACATTGCACGCGGCCGCGCGTATAGGTATAATAATATAAAAATATCGTAATAACAACGCATCGATCCCGATCTAAGTTAAAGAGAGAAATTCGAGAGTTTTCGTACGGTAAAAAAACACTCACTTTTATAACGAGTATAGGATACATTTCGTGCTTGCGCTGAATGTTTATATCGCGTTTTGCACGGTGCGTGTGTGTAAAGCGCCCGGCCTCACTCACTCTCTCTGCATCTACATGCTTTGTCGCGTGCGTAGGCGCGGTAATAATAGCCCGGTGTGCACAATGGCATACACACATATACGCACCGTTTGAAGCAGGAAAAAAGTACTTACGGCTAATGAAAAAAGTGTAGGTCTATACCTTATATATCGCACCGAATGATCTCCTTCGCGAAGGAATGACACACACAGAGTAAACAACAACGCGTGCAGCTATAGGAAGAATGGGATTTAAAACTCGGCGTTCATACTATATTTACGACCTTGGCGGCGAGAATTATGATGACCTCATATTGTAAAGCGCTATCCGCGAGTAGCTAGCTCCTCGTTGTCGTCGTCGTAGTATAATATTTGTCTATATATAGAGGAGAGTATTGCAATTTGTTGTTTTTTACGACTGCATATTATACGGATGTGTACTGTGCGGCCCCGCGCGACACGATGAATAATGCGCGATGCGTCGATTTTTCAAAACAGGCCTCGTGCTGCTGCTGCTGTGTTTGTGTCATTGACGAATTCCGAGCGCGTATAACAAATTCGAACGGTAAATATCGATGTGATGTACGTACCACATGCGAAATTTCGCAAGGTGCCGGCTGCTGCTGCTACTTCCGCGGTGCAGCTCGCCGATGTATCTGTATATAGGTATATAATAACGATGGAAAACTCAGATGCACAATGCCACAGTATACGCACACGCGAGTTTTGAAATACCGCTGGCCACTGATACACTTCTGCTGCGCGAAATCTCGATACTGTCGATTTTTTAAAGCCAACGAGTTGATAAACTCGAAGCTTTGTTCTCGAATCGCCGAGAGCGCGGAAAAAATGGCAAAAATTTTCTTACGCAGCGTCTTCTCGTCGTCCGTCGTGTGTTGCTGCTGCCGCCACTGCCGCTTTAGACCGCCGACGCCGCGCATCAGCGAATGTTTCATACATAGCATCTGGATATGTACAAAAGCTGCGGATTTGTACTGCGGTAAGTTTTTGCGATCGTGTATTGCGTGTATACCTATGTGTATAGCACTTGGCAATTGGAGCAGCAGATGTTCGGTCAGCTGATATGCTCGCTGCGTATACCGACCGAGTGATCGTAACGTAGAAAATGATCGTGTGCGGGTAGGGTACAACGTAAATTTTGCGAGACTGCTGGCAGATTTTTTTTTGTAACAAATAAAATCTTTTTATTTTGGCTTTGAAATCTTAAAATTTTTAAAATAAAAATATATTTTCATACTTCCATTCGTAAACTTCTTTTGTCGTAGATTAACCTTTTTTTTAATTGTCACAAACGTAACTTAAAACTGTACACATTAAATACATTTGATCTATCTCTAATTTTTCTTTTCTCGCTCTCTTACAGTATCATACCCAACCAGCCAAAGATGAGACATGTGCCACCGATGGGAGTCAGTTTACTGTAAGATTTATCACCGGTAAATGCGTAATAGTAGCAGGTACCACAGAATAATATTATTCCAGAAGTCATGAACGTGCCAGCCTGAAATTAAAGATTCATAATTACAAATGTTTCATGTCAGTCAGGCAGATTTTTCTTTATTTCCAGTGAATTAATCCTTACCACCAGTGGCATCCTGCTCATAGGCATACCGATGAAAGCCAATGTGTGAATAAAATGATACCTTGAAGCTGTCTCGAAAACCCTTCTCAGTTCGTGTCCATTTTCATTTTTATAAGTCTCTGTTGAATAAAACATTTCAATGAAAATCTCTTTCACTACTGTTAAATTTTAGCAGTTCAACGAAATACGTACTGTGAGATCCATACGCTCCCAAAATCACTGCTGCTGCACCACTCAGAGCAGCTATTCGAATGAAAGGTCCAGTGGAATGTGCCATTTGCCACAATGGTTCGGGTGGTAATATCTTGACTGTTTCAACAGGCTTTGGTCTTAATCCTAGATAATCTATCACCTGCAGAAATAACAATTAATGAGAAATCAATGATAGAATAGTATTTGTTATGCTTCAGTTTTTCCAAACATTGATTAGGCTATCAGCAGGTAGTCAATTATTCAACTTTAGGTGCAGACTTTCATAACATAAGCTTGTACTCACCCCATTAGTTACAGATTTACCCATGTGCAAGGTATTGGAGCTGATCGGATTTGTGAAAAGCACATAGTTCAACGCATCTTGAAATCCCATTTTGACCGATGAATCTGGGCAAACGTCAAGTATCTATACGATAACGAGGCTAACAGCTAGTGACTGTGTATAATTTTGGCTTATAAGGTAACTAGTGGTGAAACAAACTCGCGAACTTTTCGGTCGACTGTTTTTTTCTCTACGTCGAGCGCACGCTTTCAAACGTTATCATGTGAATGCTTGGAAACAAACGACGAGACCAGACAGCAGCATCCACTTCGCTGGCGAAGATTATCTTTTGTTTTGGACCAGCTTATAACGCATGCACACACGATTTCTCCCGAGCTGTCTGCCTATATTTATGACAATGTTTTGGTACAGCCTGGAATTGACCGCGCGCGCAGATCGATCAAGCAGAAAACTACGCAGATACCAGACGACGCAAGCGCAGATACAGACGGGATTCGCGATTCGCGAAAATTTCGCGCGCCCGATACGATTTCGATTTTTTTAAGCGCGAAAAATTCGCGCGCGTCGTCGTCGTTCGGAGACGAGAGGGAAGGAATGAGATTGAAATGATTTTTCGATAACCGTGATAATTGTTCAATATATTTTCACAACATATATTATATATTTACATTTACGTAAGGCGGCCATGTCTCAGTGAATGAATACATCGTCGGGTGCAGTTTTTCTTTTTTTTAAGAAAAAAAAAAATTCAATAAATAAATCGTACTCGATAATTTACAACCGCATCGACGATGACAGTTAATGAGGCAATATAAACTCTCACTTCTCCTACATATCATCTGGCATATATATCTTGCTTCTTTTTTCTTTCCGTTTGTTTTCGATTTATAAATCTAACAAACTCGTATATCAATATATATTATCATGCGATTAAAACTTTAAAATTATATATAATATATTATTATACACACAATAACTCGATATATAAATTAGGTTCGTTTTTTTCTCGATTTCGCTACGAATCCAGCCGTAGAAAATAATTCTCATGCATACGAGCATTTGTCTCTCTGTATCGTAATTACGATGCGTAGAATTTATCATTCTACATTATTTTAATAAACTTTCGTTGGCTTCTTTGTTTTTTTTTTGTATATTCTGTTAAGTTACGATCAAACATTTGCACTGCCTACGAGTATAAACATTTGTCCATGCAAAAAGAAAATCACATCCGCAGTGATGAATTTAGGAAATCGCGATTTACAATCGTCGCGCGAGAAAAAATAAAATACAACCTTTTCTTTGCGATTAACGGTGAAAAATATAAATGTAGCTTCGTAAAAGTTATTATCTTTTTTTTTTAAGTACGGCGAAGAAAAACAGAAGTTGATGCAGTCATTTTCCTTTCACATAAACGATCGGACAAAATGAAGAGAAAAAAAAAATTAATAATAAATCCGAGCACAATAAAGATTATCACATGATCTTTTTGCGTGTGAAAAATTCGCGCAATATTCGCGACTTATCTACATAAACGCACTTTGTTGCCCATTTTACAACAAATCGACAGGTACAATTATTCATTAATATAACTCGCGCGAGGAGAAACCGATACTTTTTTCACTTTTACTCGATTAATTTTCTTCGAAAATAAATGACAATATCGCGTCGACGACGGATACGTAGAAAGGACAATATTTTAAACAGACATAAAGTTATGCAGGTTCGATATCAGATACGGAAGCATTTAAAAATCTGCTTAAAAAGAATCTTAAACATTAATGAGATTCCATCGCAGTGTGTGTGTGTGTGTGATAGGATTGTTCGTATTAAAAAATAAAACGAAAAAAAATACACATATCAATTTCACTCTCGCCTGTTTAAATATTGTCTTAGAAAAAAAATAATAATAATAATAAAAATAATAAATAACAACGATATTATGCGTCCGAAATAAATTTTCTGCCTATCGGGAAGTAGATTCACATTAATATAAATAAATACGATATTTATACATGCCATCATCTAGTTTTCGTATCATCCGTTGATGCAATTATAATAATACTATAAAAAAAAACTCGCACTTCTTCGTCGATTACACTTCTTGCTCCCTTTTTTTTTCTCATGACACACTACTCATTTTGACTGTTTTTCAATGAGAGGCACACTCACACACGTGTCTGATTATTATGCTCTTCTGTATCTCGCAATTGTATACCGATAAATTTGATTATCGTACCTTTCATCGCGTCATTCATAACGTAACATTATTATAAATTCATACGTAATCTACATAGGATTTGCTTTACATTATCTATATTTCCTTTAATTTCTTCGTTTATAACGTTTTTCTTTCCTTCTTACTCTTTTTTCGCTAAAAATTTTGATGTACAAACGCCTTCTCTCTCTCTCTCTCCCGTGTTGCTGCGTTTATACGCTTTTGCCGATTTTTTTATTTTTCCTTTTTTTTTTTTTTTTACAGCGTGGCTATTTTCGTTGTCGTTGTTGGTACGTACGTACACACGCGTACAGTATAATAGGATATAATGCCACAGCGGGACGCGCGCAGACAATTTACGCTTTGTTATCGATCTGAAGCTCGAAATGAACGGCTCCGATCTTCTCGTTTCTCTTCGACTCGTACTTGATGTTTTTCGCCCAGGCGCGGCACTCGATGTAAATAATTTCGTCGTCTGTGACAAAAAGGAAAAGGAGAAAAAATTAGAGACTGTAAATTTTCGAAGAGACTACGGGTGAATGTGTTTTGTCTTTTATCTCTTACTCTTTGGACGCTTGAAGTGGACCGCGACCAGCGGGCTCAGGTACTCGTCGTCGTTGACGTATGGGTAATAGTAGCCGGGGAAGCCCCTGGATTTGGGATAATACTCGATTTCGCCGATGTGCTCCTTGTCGACCTGCTTCTCGCCGGCGCACGACACCCATATCGTGTTCAGCTGGAAAATTTTTTCGCACCGATTCAGTATGTTATTTCAATTTTTTTTACCTTTTACGCGCCCCGAAATAGCAATCAATTCATTAAGATCAATTCGGTAGTGGACGCTATACCCTCAAATTTGATACCTACGCAGACTAGGCCTGAATGCAGGATTATTTTTTATTAAAACCGCAAAAATATGACAATCATCGTTTAGATGCTCCGACTCAATTAGGTAAAATAATTTCTCGCGAGTTTTCCAAGAGAATACGTATGAAAGTTTCCAACAATCGCGGCTTTAATAAAAAAATGATTCTGCATTCAGGCCTAGCCTGCGTAGGTATCAAATTTAAGGGTATAGCGTACACCAGTATCTTATTATTGACTCGGAAACAGTGAGAAAATAGTCGAGGAAAAAAGTAATTGTCCAGTACCTGCTCTTTCGGTGCCTTCTTGATGTGCTCCTTGAGATCTTCGGGCATGTCCTCCGGCAATTCCGACGCGTTGTTGTAAAATTCCGGCTGCCAGTCGTAAATCTACGAGACACAGAAAGACAAATTCATTAATTTTGTGTCGTTAATGAAATAGAACACCCCCGTCTTTCGCGGATCAACAAGTGAATCAATACACGAACTTTCCAAATGGTTAAAATAACGAGTTTTCTTTTTTTGCGCCTTCCTTGCGTCAACGAAGGACTGAACGAAGTGAATAATTTAAAAAAAGAAGGAGAAAAAAAAACCCAAGTCTATAGCGTAATCTTTACGAGCGGGGCGGAGCTTAATTCCATACTACACCCTCGCCGTCGACATCGATTTTCCATCCGGGGTTAATAAAGAAAAGGAAAAGAAATAGGCAGGAGAGTGTCCTGCGGTGTGTCTCTTTTATTTATTTTTTTTTTTTTTTGCTCACTCACCCTATTGAGCTTGATGAAGATGCAGGGCGAGGAATTGTTGAAGCCGTAGCTGTTGGCCCGGGAGCAGGGGCCCCAGTCGTTGATGTCGACGGCGCAGACCTTGTTGGGCTCGGGCGGCCTCTGATAGTCGCAGATCATCTGCGTGCGGCCCTCGAACGGCAGCATCGACTTGTTGTGATACTCTGTACGAAGAAAAAAAAAAAAAAAAAGAAAATTAACGTCCGACGAAGAAAAACAGGGTCGAATCAACTACATGTACACGCGTACTTTCGAGGAAGTTATCGAGCGAGTCGACGTACTCCCTGATGGCCGTGGAGTTGTCCGATGCGTACCAGAGCAGCGATCTCTGCTCGGCGTCGTGGGGCATCGGTCGGAAGCCCAGGCCCGGATTCGTGCCTATTATGCTGTCTCTCAGAGTGTAGGTGGGCCGGTGCTTGTCGATGGACGCCATCAGTCCGCAGTAACAAATGCCGCAGAGCAGCGCCAGAACGCTGTAGAACACGAGGTAGAAGAGCCCGACGATACCTGCGCAAAAGGAAGAGAGAAATTAGCAAAAAAAAAAAAAAAAAGAGCTGACTAGATCTTTGCCAATTTTGCACACGCAACGGCGGTATAACAGTAGCGATTCTCTTCAAAGTGGAAAAAGGGATAATAGTTGGTACATCACAACGGATATAATAAACGTCGAATGTGTCGCTCACTATACGACAATTATAAAAGCGCATGTGTGCGTATCATATACAATCCGCAAGTTGTGGTGTCGTTACTCTTGATTAAAAACAATCAAATGGCAGAGCTGCTGCTATACTGCCACACATGCGTCGTGTCGGGCATAAAAGCCTACGACGGATGATTGAACCCGGGGGCAGATACGCAGCGCAACATCGTATTATTGAGATAATTCAATGGAGGCTTTAATAAAGCGCGCAACAAGTGTGATTCAATTTTCTCTCTCTAAAGCAAATCGCTTTAGTCGTTGTGTACCATCATTTTAGTGTTTGTGTGTGTGTCTGCACAATAATAAACAAAGAGTTGAATTGAAGCGATTCTTCGTGTTACCCTTTTTTTTCTAATTCGGATCGTTCGCAGCGATGAATCCGAGAGCTTAACAAGCGACTCGATCCGATGCTTGATATAATAGCATACGAAAGTTCTCTATTATACATGCCCCTGTTGTAATATCGCAATAATAATAAAAGTTAAAAAGCCGGGATCGTTTATACTTATTATAATGTTAAACCACGCGTGTGATTCGACAACGGAGATAAGGAGCCGAGAGCCTCGTTTATCACCTCCGATGTATATAGTGAAAAGAGTAATTTCTCGGAGGTGTAATGAGCTCACCCACGCACGAATCACAACCGGATCGAGATGCAGTTTCGTCCGGATTTTTTTTTACAGGTTTTTTTGTTTTTCGATCGTTCGGCATCGCTGTTATAATTGTTCGTGTACAACGATGTTTGCCAATTGGCGCGAGGCGTGCAATGCATCACGATGTATATCGCGTTTAACGTAGCGCGGCTCGTCTTTGGATGTCGCACGAGTCGCTCGTTACATCATCTATGTTAATATCGTGTACGACGATTGTGGGACATTTGTAAAAAAAAAAAAAAACTAATAATAAAGAGTCGAGCTCGTTAGCGGTTAATCATTGCGGAAGTCGTCTGCGTATTACAGAGATGCATTCGTGTATGCCGCCGACTTAACGTCTGTGTGTGCTTTGATAATCGACGTTTGTTTTCGTTGTTAAAAATCGGATTAGATGTGTAGTACGAGGCTCTTTTCGGAGCATTCGTGAGTGTATGAGTGACTTTCGGACATTTTTGAGAAATTTAGAAAACTAAATGGAAAGGTGTGTTTATGGGAGAAACATCTGCAACTGTGCTTCATAGCGTAAGCCCGAAGTATTGCCGGAATCTTCGTTGTGCTTTTATATTCCAATTATTCATTTTTGAACGTTCAAAGTTCCAAATCTTCCTATGATTTACAAGACTCAATGATGCCTTTAAAAAGAGTTGATTAAATGCTTCGAACGGACGTACGAAATGAAAGTTTTTACTTCGTTCAAGATGAAAATATTTTCACTCATTGCTTCTCGATCTAAAGTATCTATTTTGATACAAAATATTGCAATAGTTTTGGAATTTTTATTTTTGAGAAAAATGCAACGTTCACGATGATTGGCGTTTGTTATTAAAAAAAAAATAATATTTTTGTTTGTACAAGACATCGTTAAATAACTGTTGGGATTTATTCATTTCGACGCGCCGATGTGCGCTCAAACGATCGATCCTCAAACAAGCAAGTAAATTAATTTCAATTATTTAATACCAATTAAAAGCAGTTATTATTGTCCAAAATTATATCATCTCATACCTAATTAAGCATTTGACGAAGGAAAAAATGTATCGTACCCCATCGACTCTTTCACGCGCTTACGCTTTTTATTGCACGCGGGCCTCTCTACGTGTGTCTCTTATCCGATTTCCAAAACCGATCTCGATCGAGCCGGAGACCTCGCGTTCCATACCTATCCGCTATTTACCGGTGTAGCTTAGAAAAAACTAAAGCAAAAAAAAAAAGATGATCCGAATACCGTTGAATCATCGCGTACGGCACACACACACACACACACAGTTCTCCCAAAAATCACAACTCGCGAGCGCGACGTCGTCTCCTCCTTCGCGTTTCTAATCGCCGAAAGAAAAAAAAAAGATCGTTCGATACGATCGATTTCACGTACGTACATTTAGCTGGCAGGCTGGCAAAATTATATCGTACAGTTTTCTTTTCGAGCTTCGAGCCGAGCGAGCCCAACCTTGAGCAGACTAACTAATATACATGCGTAATTGAAACGTTCACGCTTTGCATTATCGCGAGCGAGCGAGCGCGTGCTTACGATATATATTAGATGCATATTGTATACGCGTGCACAGGCCAGCCGAGTGCTGCGAGTCTGCGTGTGTATTGACATCTCAATTTGCATTGTTTTACTGAAAAAAAAAGAGGATGAAGTAGACGAAGACGAAAGAAAACGTCATCTTTCGCGTTAGAAATTACACAAAATTGCATCGTACCCGTAAAGTCTCTCTCTCTCTTTCGAGCACATTGATAAAGTAAGATCGACGCTCGACACGCACCGACAAATGATCCGCGAGCACGTGCGTCGTCTCGTATGTACCTATATCCACACAACTCGATGCATTCTTTTCAAATTTCGCGCACTCTTATACTAGCACTCATATATAAGTGAAAAAAAATCGCGCTCGGCTTTTGCCGCGTTCAAGGTCGCGGTTGCAATGTGTAAATACACGAGTCAAGTTTTTCCATCCATAATAAAAGCGCGTGCGCATGTATGTATATCGGCAGCTCCTTAATGAGTTTGCTCTCTTCGCCTACGTATACACATACATTCATATACATATATGCAAGTGCACTTTCTATGATTATCGTACGTGTGGCACGAGTCGGGCGCGCAACGACGACGACGACGACGATGATTTGTTTTACATCGCGTTGCAATCGCGGTGCGGTTTTATTATCCTCTCCCGACAATTACAACTGATCATGCCGCGAACGGATGGCATTATAATTGATCTCTGTCTCTCTCCTATTAAGGCAAGAGATTTGCATGCCTTACACACGAGCGAGCGATAATCAATCGAGGAAAATGTAATAACGATTAGTTTCTTTTATTTTTTTTTTCGTCTCGTACGGAATCGCTAGTAGTGTTTAAAGTCGCTGCCGTTGCGCATACGCATCCAAATAGTACACACACACAATTGCAATGGGATTAAATGCGATCGTGCTCGCGCGCGAAGCTAACGAGCTCACGTGTCTATATAATCCATTATGTTACTCGCGTGCACTTATCATCGCGCAGACACACACAGGAAGCAGCAGCGCAGCGTTACACACAACCGAGGATTATTTTTTTTTTCTCTCTCCTTACGCGCGCTCGAAAAGTTGTATTGTATATATAGAAAAAAATAGAGGAAAAAAATAAATATTTAATCAAATAAACACGATCACGGCCGTATGTAAAGATAAAGCCTTCGATTCGTGTATACGTAAATGTGTGTGTGTCTATGTAATGAAAAAAAAAAAAAATCACTAAGCTCCGTGCCACTGGATCGTGTGTGTAGCAGCGCAAACCGCTAGGAATCCTCGTTCGTCTGTGTCTATACGATATTACGCGTGTCATTAAGAGCTCAAGAGTAGTTGTTTGCTCTCCTTTTTTTTTGCAGCAGTGGCGGCAAATTAATTAAGACGATCGAGTTATACACATTATGAATTCAATAAAGATGAAAAAAAAAAATGTATATAATAATTCCAGAATCTATCTTTTTTTTTTCTTCTCCTCCGTTTCCTCTTCTTCATCATTGTCGTCGTCGTCGTCGTGACTCTTTTGCGCAATCGGCTTTCAGGTGCGTGGAATATTTCGCTCGCCTCGCCAACTGCTCCAGCTTGTATCCGTGCGTAAAAAACTTTTTTTTCGCTCGAGCGATAGATTGCCGATTTCGGTGCCGTATACCGTACACGGAGCCCGAGTGTACAATAACGCGCGTGCGTGCGTTATACTTTTGGGTGCGATGTTTGAACGACACACCAACGTCATAGATACTAGTTCTTCTCTCGAGCAAATAATGTATTCCAATTTTTGCGCCAGCGATATATACGATACGCGATTATACGCGGAGACTATCGCGCGATGTATCGTATACGAATATTAAATAGGTAAATAGGAGCGCGCAAAAACGAAATAGCGGCTCTTCTCTCGAGAAATTCGATTCGCGATCGGTATTACAATATTACGATCTATATTAATACGAGCATATAGGCGTTGTGAGAATTAAAAATCATTTTACTCGGCGCGAATATATATATATATATATTGTCAGTCACTCAAGACAGCAAGAGCAGCAGCAGCAGAAACAGCAACGGCAGCAGTAACAGGTGTCATTGACACACTTATAATCTATTTACTTTTGTACATATTACACACTCGTACACACGAGCGCAACACACGGACACATATACTTAAATAATATATACTATAGAAAACCAGACAAAACTAGTCGGAGAGAGAGAGAGAGAGATGCACGACGACGACGGCGTGCAAAATACTTATATAGCGCGCACACGCGTGCTTAAAATGCTTTATGGTCCAAAATTGCCCCGCTCGAAGTACGGCTTGTTTCGTGCGTGTGTGTGTGGCTTATCGGATTCAAGCATCGGAGAGAGAGAGAGAAAAAAAACAGTCGAGCGGACGAGTAGAATAGAGTAGAGTAGAGTAGAGAGTAAGAGAGAGAAAGTGAGCCCCGGTAATTGAAACATAAAATCAGGCTTTGTGCTCCGATCAACGAAAATAACGAAAAAAAAAATAAATAACGATGATAAATAAAACGCATTGATGCGCTCGTCCTGTGAGAGGCGAGTAGTACATACAATCACGTCTAGATACGGCCCTTACTTATTTGTAATGTCGCATATATGTGTACACGTTTTAAAGCTATACAATACAGTAGTAAGGAAGGAATGCCCTATACATATAATACGCGCGATAGGATTCTATTTACCGATCGCGTGCGTACATGTATATACGTACGAATATATATATGTGCGCGCAAAGAGAGATAAAGAAAGGAGATAATAATGTATATAGTTTAATCTGCGCGAGATATTAGGCAAATAAGCCGCGCGCGTATGTGTGACTCGAGCCGTATATATATATATAATCGCGAGAGAGAAACGTGTTACGAGCCTATACTACTAATACTTAACGCTGCTCGCGCGATAGTTGCTGAATTTTTTTTTGCTTCTCTCCTTTTTTTTTCACGCCGATACGTGTATATTATGTACACCGAGGTAGAGTCGTCGTCGAGCCAAGCGAGAAAAAAAAATATTACTCATGTTATTATGCGCAGCGCGGCGAGGCTCGAGGACGAGGGACAGGAAAAATAATGAGTAACGAGAGGAGAGGAAGAAAATATCGGCGATGAAAATTGAATCAAGATCGAGTGCGGATTATAACTTTTTTTTCTTGCATCCGATTTATACCGGTCACGCGCGCGCATTATACGTAAATAATAACCAAAGTTGTATACCGGTGCACTTCGTACGTGCCGCCGTATTACATATAGTTACGAAGAAAATTAGCGAGAAATTCAACGATAAAACCGAGGCACAAACGCCGTGAATCGCGCACGGCGGGAGATCGGTGCGAAAAATAACACGAAGAAAAAGAAGAAGAAGAAGAAGGAAAAAAGCTCGTAACTAGGTGTCGCGCGTTGCTCGCTCGGACGACAAGAAGAAGAAGAAGAAAAAAACGAGGCAGAAAATGTCAATGCGACGATCCACTGCTAATTGTTCGCGACGACGATAACGCGTTTGTGCAGAAAAGAATGACACTTTTTTTTTGGTATATATGTGTGTGTGTGTGTGTGTGACCCCCCACCGGGGGGCGTGGGTTACCCACGTGCGCGCCTCGCACATATACACATTGCATTATTATTATTATTATTATTATTATCATATGCATGCGAGTAAACGCGTTCACGTAATGTACGTGTATTTACAAACGATCGCAGCCGCAGACGCGAGTCGAATCGAGAATACATTATGTATACTCATTATTTATGTCGCACAGATTGCACAAAAAAGGAAAGAAAAAAAAGGTAAATAAACAACGACGATTGCCATTGAACACGCGCGAATGCAAAAATAACCTGCGCAACCACTTTCTTCTTATTACTTCTCTTCTGTCGCACGCAAATTTTTACAAAAAAAAATCGGTATCGGTAAAATTCCACCGCGATAATCCGATCCGTGCAAATGTCATCGTCGGAACTGGATGCGACCGAAAAAAAATGAAATTTCAAAAAAAAAAAAAGAAAAAAAATTAATAACAAAACCGAAAAAACCTCGAGCTTCTCGCTCGCGCGCGTGCACGTATGATATACGAAAGAGCGAAACAGACAGAAACCGGGAGGAAATCAGTCGCGCGCTGTGTGTGCATTTGCGCTCGCGACGATATCTCGCACCGCAAATGCACACACGCGCGCGCGCAAGTATTACTGGTTCTCGCGGCGCTCTTTATCTCTCTCTCTCGCTGACTCGCACGCTGCTGCTGCTGCTCCCTTGCTCTTGAGAAATCCCAATTTTTTTTCGCGTCTTTAAAAAAAAAATCATAAAATAAAAGAGACAGAGAGACAAGAAAATATGTGTGTCTGTGTATCGGTGAAGGCTCCTCTCTCGGCACAATGAGCACGTGGTCATTTATTTCGTACGATACATATACAGCTCCGATTTTAACGCGTGTACACGACGCTGGTATTGCCAATCAGCTGTTTTCCTTTGAGAGTTTGCTCGTTTGCAAATACGCACACGGTATACATCGATGTATAGGTACGCGTGTGTACGTGAATTACGTGCAAAGCACAAACGTTTCGCTTTACAATAGACATCGGTATACACGAGCTAATATCATAAGTACACACAGACAGAGTCGGTTGACACGAATATACATAAAAAAAAAAAAAAAATGTGTACTACACGCACAATCACGATCACGATCGCGTATTGCTCTTCTTACCCCATCGTTTCTTCGTGTGGCCGAACACGGTGCCCTTCCGCGGATTGTAGAGCCAGTCCTGGACCATCTTCCAGCCCGTCCGCTCGTCGGGCTGCCGGTAATACTGATCGAACTCATAGGTATTGGTGCTGGTCTTCTTGCCCTTCTTGAAGCTCGTGATGCTGCTGCTCATGATGATGCCGTTGTTGTTATTTTATTAGTTGAAACTCTCCTAATCGATCGCACTGGCAGTTTTTTTTTTCTCTACTTATCTCTGATAATCACGCGCGAGCTATCCGGTTGTATTTATTATTTAGCACGCACACCGATGTATATATGTAAACACACGCGCGTATATGAAAAAAAAAATATGTTCAAGGGGAAAAGGGAGGGTTGGAATTTTTTTGTGGTCTAATTAATATATCGATCTATGTATATCGTTGGTAATAACGATGCCGATACGACGACGACGACGACGACGACTCACTCACTCGCGGGGCAGCACGACGCGTTGCGTGTGTGCTGTGTCATCGACGGCGAACGAGCGCGCACTGAACGCAGCGGCTAGTCGCTCGCGCGCCTATATATATCTATATACGGCATATGTATCAAAAACGTGTCTGTGTGTGTGTGCCGAGAGACGACGATATGCTTATAAGCAGCCAGTCAGGCGCTCGTGTATATGTATATGTATTCGGAGCGGCTTTTCGTCCCCGTGTATAAGAAAGCCGGGCGCGCATAAAGTGTGTGTGTGCGTGCGCGTAATAGAGAGCGAGAGAGAAGCTTTTTCTGCGTCTAATTCGTCACTCACGCAGATGCGAGAGAAGAAGAGGAAGACACCACCCCCACCGGAGCGCCGAGCGCGTGAACGGGGGCTCATATACAGAGAGTAGAAAGAATAGATTTCCAACCAAATCCAGCTAAATCAATCTAGTTCGATCTCGAATTCTTTTTTTTTGTCTTTTCTGCTCATCTGCTCTTTTTCACACGCGCAAGCGCGAATAACGTTCGATAGGCCTCGGAGTTTTGAAATGTGTCTATAATGTGTCAAAAGGCGTGAAATCGCTGGCAATTTTGCGCTACATATATATTATTTAATAATTCGCGCGCGCGAAGCGTGTAACAATACGAATACGGAGCCGACGAGGCTCCTTATCTCGATAAATTCTTTGGGTTTTCTTCGGCGCGCTGCTGCTGCCGTATTGTATTATGTAGGCGTAACGCGCAGGTATATCGATGTGTATTTTTTTTTCTCATTCGTCGCATCTCTTGTTTGACGTTATAACGTCAGCGATTGAAACGAAGACCCAACTAACTGTATCGAAAAAAACCCAACGCAAAACTGATAAATACAGGGATACGGTGTGACAATACCTGACCTGTTGAGAAGCATATAGTATTCGAACTTTTCATCTAAAATTATAAAAAATAATGACAAATTAAATTGTATATGTTGACAATGGAAGATTTGTAAAATTCCCTTAAAGATGTTTTGTACGTCTAAAGAGATTTTGAAAAAGATCCGCAGCCAATTTATCATATTGTGTAAATCATCATTTACGCACAATATTTTTAATAACTAAAATCATACATAAATAACAAAATTTAAAGGAAAATTTCTATTGGAAATTGAATCTAGTTTAAATTTGAAATTAAATATGAGGCCAGTAATTGGTCTATAGTCAGTTTGCGTTAATATCCGGTCACTTTTTAATACTATATCGACGCTGCCCTCAAAGAGCGGCACGTTTATATGTTAATTCAAAAGGAAACGGGCTACTTTTCATGGACAGCCTCGATATAATTTCGATTGTTTTATTTACAAAAAAAAAAACATTTTGTAATGCAAAAGTGCATTTATTTAATGACAATCAACTCGACTTTACGTATCGCATAAGTCAATTCTAAATACCTCTGAGCGTTCATAAGACTCAAATAAAAGTGTCCGAGTATCGGTACATTTATCGCATCCCTCGTCGATCGCACAAATATTCATCCACGCGATTGCTTTGAATACAGTCCCACGAAACTTCTCTTACACTGATCGCAGAAAATAAAAGTTGATTTTCTTCCTCTTCCTCTCGGCGCATCTCTCGTCGTCGATACTTAAATTTTTCACGCATTCGTTCTAGTCTGGCTCGTGTGTGTGAGCAACGTTAACGAACCACCCCCCGCAGACCACTGACTTCAGGGTGGTTTTTTTTTTTCGTCGCTGCGTAGCAAAAGTATTGATTTTCCCATAAACTTATATATGAAAATAATTCGCGCTATCTCTCGGTTAAGGTGGCCGTCCGTCGCGCCGTAAGGGTTTTTATATATCACGTGCGTGTATTACAGGACGATACGAGCTTGGCGACTCACGCGCACGCACTAAGACTCTATGGACTCGGGCAAAAAGGGAGAGGGACGCACGAGATTTCGATATATATACACCATTAACCAACGTCCGTTGTTTTCTCGCTCAAATTGTCGAGGAAACTCGTTCCTGCTGCTCCTCGTATGCTGTATATATCATTGCCGCCGATGGGGTGCGTATCCCATGCCCAGGATATTTTGCAGGGGGCGAGGGAGGACAGTTGGTTTTTCCCGCACCGCTCCTTTCTATCAGGAGAGACACAAAAGTAAGTCCAAAAGTTTGGGACTCGAGCTTGCATCTGCGATGCGACTAATTAAAACGAAGCTTCTCGATGTCTGTATAGAGCTTTTGCATATGTATGGTACTTTCGTCGCGGTTCGTCATTTCCATCCGATCTTACGCTCGTTTGCTGTGTGCGCCCGTTGCGATCGAGAGCTGCGGCTTATTAATACAAAGTTATAAATACGACAAAGACCGCCGAGCAATACGAGGAACGGAGGATAAACAATGGGGAAAAAGCTCCGCCCGCACTTGAAGCTTCTCGTGGCGCCTTGTACACAACTGTCGGCGCGAGCCATTACATAATGAAGCTTCGAGGTCCCCTCCTCTTCTCCCTCTCGTTTTCCCTCCTTGCATTATTACACAGCGGCGCAGGATTATACCCTACACTTATAACGTCGAACCGTCGAGTGCTCCTCGACGACGATCCGCACCCATGTGTGTATACTCGTGCATATCGTCGTGATACGAGCGTCGAGGTACGTACGCGCGAATAAAAACGTGACACACGGGGCCGCAGCGGCTATTGTAATTCATCCGCGCCGATGTGTGTGCGTATACACATACTGCTAAATTAGAGGCGAGTTTGCGATCGGTAGTAGCGTTATCGGCGTTCGATAGATATAAGCGTACGTGTGTGTGTGTGTGTGTGCGTACGTTTGACGTCACGCACCCGTGTACCTATATTACGCGCGTCTGTTAACATTGCGAAAGCCGCAAAAATCGCGTACAGTTTCTTTAGTCATTGAAAAACCGCAAAACCACCTGTAAGCCGCTCGAACCGGCCAAATATACGCGTCTCCGCTCGCGTTAATTTTTTAAAATGTTTATTAGCAAAGATTCGTTTATGCGTATATATTTTGACACGGAGCGCAGAGGCGGATCGGCATACGTGCATACGGTATAATATACTCGTGCGTATGCGATACTGCGAGCTTATGTGTGTGCGCATATACGCGTATCGTATACGGGCAATTCTACTACAAAAATATCGCAGCGAATCAGTCCACGAAATCAGTGATCGTTGTTTTTTCCGAATGTCCTAGTAGAGGCAGCAAGAAGTGTCTGATAGTACATTCGGAAAGGTGAAGATTGTTTCTATCTAGATGGATCCTGATAATAAAGAGAGTATAGTATGTGTTTTTTGGGCTGGTAATAACTACTCTGAACCATTTAAAACTATCTATCCTATACACATAAGTGGATTTTCGTTGCAATGATACAGAAAATAAAAAAGCATTCCTATTCGTGAAAATCGATTGGAACGATATCGCTGTAAAGACAGCCCAATTTTGTTTCATTTTTCTTCTTTTCAATTTATCCATCGATTAGAACTAATATAAAAGGTAATTTCATTTTACAGAGAAACTTTTCTCACTGACGTTGTAGATTTTAACACGATAAAAAGAACGTTGCACAGTTTTTATGTCTTATGAAATAACAACAAAACTCGAAACGATTGCCAAACCAAAGAAATAAAAAAACGAGCTTTTGATAAGTACATTCGATTTTCACGAGGATAACACCAATTTTTCTTCCAATTTACGAAAGGGGTTAAAAGGTGTCTCGACCTCTCGACGAAGCTGGAAAATATTTTCAAAAAAACAAAATTGTTTACATTTTTTTCTCTCTCTACTTCTCTTTCTCTCGACCTTTGATATTAGTCAACGCAGATTTTTTTATAGAATTGCTCATATACACCTTCTACCACTATTATCCGGATTGCACCGGTTCACCCGCCCGGTTCTCTCTCTCTAGCGCCTGCCTCTTCGATATGCATGTGTACGTGTGTATGTGTTTTATATATATACACATTACATTATTCGACTTATATATACGGCAGCGAGAGATAGAAAAAGAAAGAGAGAAAGAGAGAGAGAGAGAGAGAAGATATCGCCTCTCTGTATGTATGTCTTTCTATATACGGCCGTAAGATCGCGTTACGGAAACTCTAAGCGATTTTTCACATCTGTATGCTCGTCGTTTTCCAGCTTGCGTATATGTACGAGCGAAAAACAAAAATGCGACGCAGCTGTGTCACCTACAGCTACGAGAGATAACTTCTAATTTTTTTTCTCCTCTTTTTTTTTTTACACATCGGTTTTATCAATTAATAATATATCGCGTGGGAGAACTCAGAAGTGCATCCGCGCGCACGACGACGACGACGACGACGACGATCGAAAGCGTCGGATTTCGCCGAGACTTTGTGTACAGCGATCCGTTATCTCGCTTGTAAGCGCAGCACAAGCCGTTTGATATCGGAAACATTGCATAACTCTTTCGGTGTGCGGTTGCTCGTGTATATATAAAAAAAAATATATCATTATTATATCGTACACATTTTTTATGTATCGACGAACAGAAACAACGGAGGAGAGAAAAAGAATGCATCGTTGTCACAACGATCTCCATGTGGCGATATAAAAAAAAAATAAGACGAAGGAGAAAGATCTCCGCTTGAATTCATGATCATCGTGTGTACGTCGTCCTTAACTTTTGTTGACGTGCGATCGGAGATTCGGATTACAAGGAAACTGAGGATTGATATCAGTTAGTTTTGTTACTCATCTATTATATTAATTCAAACTGCAATGAAAATACACATTACTATTATAAATGATATTTTACGGATACGCATAATGCCGGGGGGTTCTTCATTCAAGTTCATACAACCCCCTGAAAAAAAAACCTCGTTGTTCCTGTAGTCGCGTCGTCTTCATGACCGCATCACACCTTGATGAGCATGCGGAAGCGAAATTTGAAACTCCTGTCGATGTTGTGCGCCCAGGTCGTGCAGTCGATGTTTATCAGCTCGTTCACTGAATGGGAGCGAAAGAAGCCAACGATTAGTATATGATAAATACTGTACAGGAGGAGGAGAGCTGCGAGGCGCAACAAATTTACAAACAACAAATGTTTTTTTTCAATTCAATTCGATAACGATCGAATGTATAAGATACTCGATCGGGTATCGGTCAATCGGTATTGTCGTCGAAAATTATACCTGCGGGCCGTCTGAACTTGAGCGCCACCATCGGCGACAGGTAGTCCGGATGGCCGTCGTACGGGAAGTACTGGACGGGGAATCCCGGCCCCGGCAGATACTCGATCTCGCCCATGTGCAGCATGTCCTCGAAGCTCGTGCCGTTGCACGACAGCCACACGTGCGGCTGCGGAGAAATGAAAAATAATAAAAATAAAAAAAAACAACAACGATGTATTACGCGTACCGATTGGATTTATCAAGGCCGAAATGCATAACGCGGCTTATTTTCTTAATAAAAAAGAGAGAGAGAAAAAAAAACTTTTTTATACGGTGAAAAATAAAGGCAGATCGGCTGCCACGGCCAATGCTCGGCAATCTTATCGCGTGTACGATACATACGTAACGCTGTTGCGCTGTTTACCGGCACACGCCGGTCAATGGAGAATTGCGCGCCGGTAAATAATTAATACATCATACACATGCGTGTATGTGCCCCGTACCTTATCGGATTTTCGTACGACTTGCTTGAGCCAATCGGGCATGTCGCTGGGCAGCTGTGAGGCTTGAGTGTAGAAGATCGGCACCCCCTTCAGGACCTGTGGAAGAATTGCCATGTTTTAAAAAAAAGGGATGAAGAAGCAACACTGTGCGGGAATCCGAAAAATTATTCGAGATTTAGACCCGCAGTTATAAACATTTATTAATGAGCGATTCTGTTAAAAAAAATCCAAGATTCGAGGATAAAATAGCGATTGTAATTTTTGCCACTCGACGCGTACAATGGAAGTTGACGATTATTCATTGAGATCACAGAAAAGGAAGAAAAAGTGAGAAAAATGAAAATTTGTATAGGTATTTTATAGGTATTCTATTCATAGCTATTTTTGCAGTCCAGAGAACGAAAAATTGCAATCGCCTGTTTTTAATGAACGAAATCAATTGAAACTTTTTTCTCACTTTCTCGTTGGGTTTAGGCATCAGATAACTGAAGAAAAATTTTCCTAGGGTTCGAAAAAAAAACCAATTAAATGGTATAATTTTTGACAAATGTTAAACTGCACTAATAAAAAATCCTTTTATAGAAAATTGACAAGCTAAATAGTGGTATAGCGTAATGGTGTCCAAGGTCGCGAAAAAAGGCCCAGGGTATGTGTAATTAGAGGCCAAGGCCGTTATTTATTGATAATTTAAAGCTGAAAAACATTATTTTTAATAACATTGGAGGAATTTGATGATATTATTTTAAATTAATGATTTTATTAATTATTAACAAATCCATATTGGGTTTTACGTCTTCACATTCAACAACTATTTCCACTTCGTTATCAAGTTTACTACTACTCTTAAAAGGGTTGTTGAACACTGAAAATCTTCAAAAGCAACATTACTTCAAGCGAAACTTTTTTTCCTCGCGTCACTCGTGATTGTTCGGCGTTCGACAGTGCCGAAAGTCTATTATAGTCTGCTCCGTCGTTTCAGCTGTTGCATACGCAAAGGAGTTTGACACACGTGACACGCGGCTAATGCTTACTCAACGCTACTGTCGTGCCAACTGTGTTTAGTTCCTTCTCTCCCACAGTCTCTTGCCTCGCTCTATCCACAGTGCGTGTTCACGAGAGTTTTTCGCGCGAACAACGACGCATCGTAGCTCGCCGATGTCGGAATAGAGGTTACGTATGTAAAAAGAAGGATCGACTTCGGTTAGTGATTCTCGCGAAAAAGTGACGAATACTGCGTATTTAATAAGCGACTGCGTGCGTTGCGTGTTAAAACTGTGTGAGTGCGTAGTAAAATGTACCATCTTATCGAAAGCGACGACGACGACTCCGAAGCAATAGACCAATATAGCTCGGTAAGATTGCAAAGCTTACGAGAAACGATAGATTGGGAGATCGAAGAGGAACGACGCGAATTTCTGCGTCAACTTTATCCCATAGTCAAAGATTGGGAAGGCCAACTTCCCGATCTTCGGGATATTTTTGGGCGCGACGAGATAGATTGGCTTCTCTCGGAGTCCGTCGAGTCCGAGTTGGGGCCACTCGTGCAATTTGTGATCAGGACCGGCTACAAGGACAAGCCCGACCTCGACAGATACGGCAAACCCGTGTCGCGTCGCACGACACCGATCCATCGCGCGGCCAGACTCGACTACGACCGCATGGTACGCGAACTGTTCAAGATATACGACAGATTCGACGCGAACCACGTCGACGAGTCCGGCTTCACCCACTTCCACGCGGCCTGCGGATCTTGCTCCGCCAGAGTCGTCAAGAGATTCCTCGGACGCGGCCAAGATCCCAACGGCGTTGTGCCCGAGACGGGCGACTCGCCGCTGCACTTGGCCCTGGATCGCGGCAACGAGGACGCGGCCGAGGCGCTGCTGTCGAACGGCGCCGAGCCGAACTCGACCAACCGTCTGGGATCGACGCCTATGCACCTCATTGCCAAGGGGACCTTTTACGACAGCTGCGTGGATCGATTCTTCGAGATCTGCGACGAGACGAAGCGGCAGGTGCGGATCGATGCCCGGGATAATCGAGGCAGGACACCGCTGTTCGTGGCCGTGTCGAATCTCATGCCGCGCACGGTCGACGTACTGTTGAAACGCGGAGCCGACGTGTCCGGCTTCGTTTTCCCCACCGAGAGCGACTTCGACGAGAGATCTCCACCGACTTTTCTCGATAATTGGGACGACTTTAGATTGAGACTGGCGTCCGGCGCGCTGTGCATCGTCGAGCTTCTCGAGAAAAGGGGATACGAGCCGAACCAGAGCGACGCTCTGATCGTCATGAAATTTTTCGCCAAACACAAGATGTTCGAGAAGCGGGAGGATATCGAGAAAAGTTGGTACGACGAGGAGTTCGCGGAAGAAGCGGAAGACATATTCATAGACTCGGACGTGTCGCTGGACGACCTGATACGGACGTCGCCCGAAGAGGCCACGAAACGAGTCAGACTCTTGGACTTGTTCGCGTTCGCCAGTGCCGGTGACTCTTGCTGCTTCCCCGACGAACAGCTTCACGAGGCTTGTCTCTTGCATCTGTGCGAAAAACTATCGAGGACATTTTTCCGACGATGGACGCTGGGTTTTTTTCTGGAGCTGACGCGGAACCTACTGCCGATTCTCTGCTGCGAGATGATCATCGACAATCTGATGAACGAGGATTTGTGTCATATTTGCTTGGCAACTGAAAGCCAAATTCATGAAGACAGTGTAAAAAAATGTCATAGCGAAAGACCTGCGGGGGCCAGGAAAGCTCCGAAAATGCTACAAATTGAACGGTGAAGATTGTGAATGTTCTTGTTCTGTTATGAAATTGATAAAAGGAGCGAACGAGTTGACAATTTATGACATATTTGCTTGGTTACTACAGTCCAAAGCTCATGATTGCCGGGCGCATATTATCGGGGATTTTCATGTCAGGTGTTATTTAATCTTGCAAACTTTCTATATCATTCAAATAAAAAATTTTAAAAAATGAATTCTTGAATTGCTTAGATTTTCATTTATTTTTTTACCAAAAAATAAATCTCAAATGGACCAAAATACCCCACATACTTTTATTTAACCTGTTTAATTTCTTGAAGAAAAAAATCATAATAAGCATTATTTATACCTTTGAACAATTTTCAATAGCAAGTAGAACGCTAGTGGACACCAACATTTTTTTTACACAGGATCAATTTACCCGATGTTTTTTCAGTGAGCTCGATGTTGCCTGATGAGAATTTATTTGGAAGTACTTGAATTGTTTCGAATATTATAAAGTGTTATATGAACAGATTAATCAGTAACTTGCTTGTAAACAATATGATCAAAAACAATTTTGACATTATCCCTCGAAAAACTGATCGCATTTATTGTAAAAACAAATGAGTTTAAATATTGTCTTCCTCGATGAAACAAGTCATAATATCAAACAGATAAATTTTGATCATTTAATTTCTGTAGTACCAAATAGAAAAATCCTTCGTTCAATTTAGGTTACAAAATGGATAAAAAGAAAAAGAAATCTGAAGTAGTTGTCTCGAAAGATAACTCAAGTGAACACGACATTGTTGTTTCGGACGACAAACAATACATTAGTGACATTTGTCATGAGGATCAGAAAAATTACGCATGTGATCAGTGTGACGAGAAATTCGAGTTCCGGACTCATTTGAGTAGACACCAAATATCAGTACACAATAGCTGCAAAGATTTTGCATGCGGCAATTGTGAGAAGAAATTTGTAAAACAATCGAGTTTGTTTACGCATCAAAAATTAGTACACAAGGATCGAAAAGATTTCTCATGTAAAAAATGCGAGAGGAAATTTGAAAATAAGTCAAATTTACTCAAGCATAGAAGGATATTCCACGAAGTTTTCAAAGATTATTTGTGTGAAATGTGTGCGAAGAGATTCGAAAATAAACGGAGTTTGCTCTGGCACATAAAGAGAGCACACGATGGTGGCAAAGATTTTGCATGTGGTAAGTGCGAGAAAGATTTTGGCACTCAAGGATATTTGATAAAACACCATAAAATAGTTCACGAAGGTCGCAAAGATCACGCTTGTGACAAATGCGAGAAGAAATTTGGGGATCAAAGCAATTTGAGAAAACACCAAAAAACAGTTCATGAGGGTCGTAGAGATTTTGTATGTGACAAATGCGATAAAACATTTGCACACAAATGGATTTTACTTTTACACCAAAAGATAGTACACGACGGCCACAAAGATTACGCATGCAATAAGTGCGAGAAGAAATTTGGATATAAATCAGATGCGATTATGCACCTAAGGACAGTTCACGAAGGTCGAAAAAATTACACATGTGACAAATGTGAGAAGAAATTTGGATATAAATCGGATTTGTCAAAGCATGTAAAGGCAGTCCACGAAGGTCGCAAAGATTTCGCATGTGACCATTGCGAAAAGAAATTTACACAAAAACCGAGTTTACTCAAACACCTAAAGACGATACATGAAAATCGGAAAGATTACGCATGTGAAAAATGCGAGAAGAAATTTGGGGAACGAGGCAATTTGATTAAGCACCAAAAAATAGTCCATGAAGGTCGTCGAGATTTCGCATGCAACCATTGCGAAAAGAAATTTACACAAAAACTGAGTTTACTCAAACACCTAAAGACGATACATGAAAATCGGAAAGATTACGCATGTGAAAAATGCGAGAAGAAATTTGGACGTAAAGAGCATTTGCTTCTCCACCAAAAAGCAGTCCACGAAGGTCGCAAAGATCACATATGCGACAAATGCGAGAAGGCATTTTCAACAAAATCACATTTTCTTTATCATCAAAGGTCATTTCACGAAGGTCGTAAAAATTACTCGTGTGACAAATGCGAGAAAAAATATGGGGATTTAAGCAATTTTAGAAGACACCAAAAAATAGTCCATGAAGGTCGGAAAGATTTTGCATGTGACAAGTGTGCAAAGAAATTTGGGCATAAACACAACTTGCGCATTCACGAAAAAACAGTCCATGAAAGTCGCAAGGATTATTCATGCGACAAATGCGAGAAGAAATTTGGACACAAATATAGTTTGCTTTTACACCAAAAGAAAGTACACGTGGGTCAAAATGATTA